GTACTGGACAGCTGTTTCGTCCTAGTTTGGGAATCTTCATCAGTGCGCATCCACCGGGGTTTGAACCCAGGACCTTCTGATTACAAGGCGAGCTCGTAGACCATTGAACCTCGCCTAGATTACTAGGTCACTAGTATTCTAGCCGGTCCCAAGCCCGGATAAAGAGGGAGGGTTGGGGCGTGGTGCTAGCAACTCCAACCCCAAAACTTAACCAAATTGCTACTAAAACTTCAATGCACAAATATATTCAAAATTCTAAAAATACAAACAATAGCCTTATTTTTCGCTGGAATCGGGGAAGTGAAATGACGCGGGCTGGTGAAAGCCTTCGGGAAGCCAGTCAGCCGATGTGCCTTCTTTCGATGAAAGCGAAAATAAGGATGGGGACGTGGAATGTTCGTACAATGTACGAAACTGGAAAGGCTGCTCAGGTAGCCGCAGAAATGAGGAGATTTAGAATAGAAGTGTTGGGAATCTGCGAGAGCAGATGGAACGGATGTGGAAGGAGCCAACTATCAACTGGAGAGACAATAATCTACTCCGGTCACCCAGAGGACAATCACGAGCACACCGAGGGAGTAGCCATCATGATGTCACCAACAGCGGCTAAAGCTCTCATGCAGTGGGAACCAATCTCCTCCAGGATAATGACAGCCAGGTTCAACTCAAAAGGAAAAAAGGTTACAATCATTCAGTGCTACGCGCCTACAAACGTGTCAGAACAAGAGAAGAAGGAGGATTTCTACAGTCAACTACAAACAGTAATGGACAACGTCCCAAAGAGCGATATCAAAATCCTGATGGGTGATATGAATGCGAAACTTGGAGGAGACAATACAGGAAGAGAACTCACCATGGGTCGCGAGGCCCTCGGTGAAATGAACGAAAATGGTGAACTCTTCTCAGACTTCTGCGCCTTCAATGATTTGGTGATTGGTGGCAGTGTGTTCAAACACAGGGATATACACAAGGCAACATGGATTTCACCAGATGGACACACCAAAAACCAGATAGACTTCATTTCAATCTCAAGGAAGTGGAGACGGAGCCTACTGGACACAAGATCGAGGAGAGGAGCAGATGTGGGTTCAGACCACTATCTTGTACAAGGGACTTTCAAGGTGAAGCTGAAAGCCTCGAGGATAGCTGGGGATAGGCCACAATGCAAGTTCAACACTCAAAAACTGAAGGACACAATCACACAGGACATTTTCACGGCAGCTGTCAGAGCAAAACAAGAAACATTTCGTGGCACCACTGAGGAGTCATCCGTGGAAGACCATTGGAACTCTCTGAAGGCAATTTTCAATGAAACGTGTTCAACGGTTTTAGTAAGAAAGAAGAAACAAGACAAGGAATGGCTCTCAACGGACACTTGGAAGCTAATAGAGGAGAGGAGACTGTGGGAAGTGAAAATGATTCAATGCAAAGATGGACAAGAGAAAGAGACGCTGAGCTCAACTTACACAGCACTGGACAAAGAAGTGAAGAAGAGTGCCAGGAAGGACAAAAAAAAATTCTATGACAACCTGGCTACTGAAGCTGACAAGGCAGCAGGCAGAAGGGGCCTGAGGACATTATATCAGATAACCAAGTCTCTATCCGGGAAGAGATCAACACAAGTGAAACCTATAAAAGACAGCCAAGGGAACCCAATCACCAAAGAAGAAAGACAGATTAAACAATGAGCGGACCACTTCAAAGGACTCTTGAACCGACTACCATCTACAACCCGTCCAGTAATACCAACAACAGCACGTACACAACTGCAAGTTGACACTAATCATCCAACGAAAGCTGAAGTCTTGGATGCAATCAAGCTCCTGAAAGCTGGAAAAGCAGCTGGACCAGATGGAATACCCCCTGAAGCACTGAAAGCGGACCCAGAAACGACAGCAGATATGCTGACTCCATTATTGCAAAAGATCTGGAAAGAGGGAAAGGTGCCTACTGATTGGAGAAAAAGTTACCTAGTGAAACTACCAAAGAAGGGCGACCTGGGACTCTGCAAGAACTGGCGAGGAATCATGCTCCTGTCGACGCCAAGTAAAATCCTGAGTCGCATCATCCTGGAGAGAATCAAGGACGCGCTGGATACAGAACTCCGACCAGAACAAGCTGGATTCAGGAAAGGCAAATCATGTTCTGACCAAATTGCAACTCTACGCATTATCATCGAACAAAGCATGGAATTGCAATCAAACCTCTACCTCAACTTTATACCCTTTGAGAAGGCCTTCGACAGCGTTGACCGCGAAGTAATTTGGAAACCACTCGAGTACTACGGCGTACCCCAAATCTTCATCAACCTTATTCAACAGCTATACGACAACGGCACATGTCAAGTGATCCACAACGGGAAACTCAGCGAAGCGTTTGGAGTAAACACAGGAGTCAGACAAGGGTGCTTATTATCACCAATGATATTCCTAATTGTGGTGGACTGGATTATGCGTCAGACAGTGGGAAACGAGAAGACAGGGATATCCTGGACCGACGTGAAGAACCTAGAAGACCTGGATTTTGCGGATGATTTATGTTTGATGTCACACAAAATCGAAGACTTACAATCGAAAACCGACAAACTGGTCGAAGAGGATGGCAGCAAAGACAGGACTCCAGGTGAACATAGACAAGACGGAGGTTATGAAAATAACCAACCAACCAACAACAACAACAGCAGCAACATCCAGCGCCAATCACCATCAACGGGAGAGATTTGAAAGAGGTCATTTCATTCACTTATCTAGGGAGCATTGTCTGAACTACAGGAGGAACGGACGAGGATGTCAAATCGAGAATCGGGAAGCTGAGAAACACATTCATCAACCTGAAACCAATCTGGAAATCTTCGTCACTCAGCATCAACAACAAAATTCGGATTTTCAATACAAACGTCAAGTCAGACCTTTATCAACAACTGTCTTCGTTCTATACTGAAGATCATCAGATGGCCGGAAAGAATCACCAACAAGAAACTATGGGAAGAAACAAAACAAGAACCAATCGCTCAACAAATGTGCAGGAGAAAGTGGAGATGGACTGGACACTCGCTGAGGAGGTCGCTGGGTGACATCGCGCGTCAGACCAGTGCTCGAGTGAAACCCGAAAGGGAAGCGGCGAGTGGGACGTCCAAGGGTGACATGGAGGAGATCGTGTTAAGAGGAACTGAAACAGTAGAGTTTAACATGAATGCAAGTGAAAAGTACATCAGAAGACAGAAGCAAGTGGAGGCGTGCAGTTGAAGCCCTATGTTCCACTAGGAACCCAAGGGAACAATAATAAATAATAATCGTAGACCATTGAGCATCTGGGACCTGATCCAATGTCCCATGAATTCTACCTTCTGCCATTTCACGATAAATATATATATATATATAGCCGTGACCAGTAGGGTGCAGCAAGTCGGGTGTGAGAACAAATACTCGCCGAAGACATTGGATAGCGGTTGCGCTATATCGTGAATTGGTAGAAGTTAGAATTCATGGGTAATTGGATCGAGTCCCATTGGCTTAATGGTATGTGAGCTCGCCTTCTAACCAGAAGATCCTAGGTTCGAACCGTGGTGGGTGCGTGCTGATTAAGAGTCCCAAACTAGGATGGAACATCTGTCCAGCACTCCCTGCAGGTTTTCCAATGGTTCTCTAACCAATGTCAGCTCATGATGAAATCCTGTAACCGAAAAGTAATACTTCCTAGCCAGATGGAAGTGGTCTGAACAACGGATTTTGAGCTCTATATCGAATTAGAGAAAGCTGATTAACTATACAGTAGAAAAGCATACTTTACCACTGTATTACTCAGGCTATAGATATCATTTGAATAAGCTTCACCTTATAGATACAAGTACAGATAAAACATATTTCACAGTTTGTCTTTCAATATTGTAGTATCTTATCCATCTACGTCATTAATTCAAGATTAGTCATACAGTATGTTATTTGACAGCAGATACTCAGAATCACTTCAGAGTGTAAACGGAGTAAGCTGAAATAATTCCACTATTCATCTAAAACAATACTGAGAACCTAACTGGCGGATGGTGAAATCCAGGATGCATATTTCGTCCTATTTGGGATTCGTCATCTGGATGAGCCTGTATTCCGCGGTGAGTGATGATGTACCAGCCGAGGCTGGAACCCAGTGTCCATAGTTTCAAACGCCAAAGCGTTATCCACTAGACCACTTGAGGCACGGGAGCCACCTTTTGTGCAATGAGTCATATTAATTATTTAATTGAATTTTAGATTTTCCTGTCGACTGACTGAACCGAAGTGCTCGGTCTCAGATTGACGTGTCAGCTTCTTGTGCAGATGCTTTGACGATGCCTGAAACGTGTAATTAGAGGTTAATAGGTGGATGCAGGTGCATCCAGGTGAAGAGTCCCAAATGGGACGAAATGCACATCCTAAATTCCACTGCTAGTCACCATTCACCAATCAAATTCTAATCATATGTTCAGACACCAACACCGAAGAAAAGTCGTCTGTTACAGTCTCGATTCTAGTAGTTCACCTCCTAAATTTTTTATAGGGCTTCAGGCTCTGAAATTTCAATATTGTGGATACTGTTTTTACTATATGAAGTTACTAGTGTCATGCTGAACCCTCCCTATCTCCAGAATTACTATTAACTGGTTAACTAGGTAAGGTTAAAGAGTAAGTCAGTCAGGAATTGAACCCGGAACATCCGGATGGGTGATAAGTATTCATCTATCGAAGCACCGAAACAAAGAGCCAACAACATCCAGTATTCCCCATTTGTCACTCATGCACTTATCAACAGGAACCAGTGTTGCTTAAGCTCAACGATCAAACAATAACTGATGTTTTCAACGTGATATAGTCGCCATCTACAAATTGAATCCACCATGAAATTAATCGATTATTCATAGATTGAAATAGTTAGACAATTTCCATCTCCATTTCTGTTTAATCATTTTTCAACTTGATGTATGGTAATTATCTACAGTCTACGTTTTCCTTATAATTTCATGTTAGATTAAGAAGTTTACACAACTGTCCTCAGTTAAAATTAAGCAGAAAATTGATGAAATCAGCCCAACAACATTCTGAATTTCTTCGACAACAGCGTCAACTACAACAGGTTGCAGATATTAAATATGGACAGAATATGGCATTAATAATCGGTCAATCAGACTACAAAGTTGCTGGTAATGTTTGCTTTTATTCTTGTTGTAAACTGTGTATGATTATCCCTATATGAGTTTTGTTATCTAAGCATTCGAAGTAAAAGCACTTGTGAAATCATACTTACCAATAACACTTGACCAAACCTGAGTCACATGAAAAAGAGATGTGAAAGGGTTATTGAAAATACAGTTTTAAAAACTGGAAGTTTAAGAGGCTCCTAACACATTTGTATCACTAACTGATGTCTGTAATTAATCTCTGTAGTTAGTATTGAAGTCATCGAGATCACCATAGAGAAATCTTCCATATTAGTTTGTCTTTTAGATAAATCACACACAGTGAGTTAAACAGTGTTACTGTTTACTGGATGACAAGGTTTCGAACACAATTTATCAATGTTCACAATCATATCTATTATAATCACACAACTTCGAAACTTCAGTTCTATAGTTTTCTTTGTCCTCTCATATTCGTCATCGTTGGAGTAGCAGAATTCTCCAGATGTCTGGATGGACAGGAGTTGAATCATTCCTATTACACGGGTTTGCAGTTGACTCGATAATCGAAGCCTCAACTATCAATCTCTCCCCTACCCTGTTACATTGGATTTAAAAGCTGTCATCTTATCCCATCCATCCTATTGTCTGATAGTGTATAAATGCATGTGGTGAGAGCTATCTACGGCTGAACTATTCTGTAGATTTCTTATCTTATTTGGGTCAACTAGTGTAGATTTTGCTGCTAGGTTTTTATGCTTGGCTAGTCTGACTGCCCCTGTTCTACTAGTTTGACCAATGTATTTGACCTGACAATCATTCCAAGAGGATATTAGATACACTCCACTGAAAGTATTCTGTAACCGACAAAGCTTGCTTCTAATTGAGTTTGTGGGTTTGAATGTCGGTCACTTTTATTCGTGCCTGCATTGTTAAGAATTCTCCGCAAGGCTTCCGAGGTTCCTTCTTTGTGTAGAATTACTACCGATGATTTAGATTCCTTATGGTTGGTGTTTTCATTGTCTTACGCATGTTTGAAATGCATGTAGTCATTAATATTACTATTGTTGTTATTATCATCACTATCATTACTATCATTATTTCTTTTGTTTTTACATTTCCCTGCATACTTTATGATTAATTTTTCAGGGTAATCATTAAGTTTCAAAGCTTCTCTTATATGCCTCACTTCGTGTCTTAGATTTTCCTTGATACTACTTAGTTTTTGTGCTCTGTCATTTAAACATTTCACCAATCTTATTTTCACTGACATAGGATGGGATAATCGGAAGTCCAAATATCTGTTTGATTGTGGGGGTTTCTTGTAAACACTAGTGTCTGACTTCCCATCTTCGTTCTTTTTTACGCTGCTATCTAAAATTGAAAGTTCCCCTTCCTGACTTTCCAATTCATAAGTGAATTGAATTGCTTGTACCTTCGAGTTGATGTGTTCGAAAAATCTATCTATATTTAGTGTTCTAAGTACAGTGAATGTGTCATCTACATACCTCCACCATACTTTAGGGGGGGGGGCTGGGCGTTTCAGTCGCCATGTTTTCCCACCTATCCATGAATATATATCTGCCACAACCGGATATATTGGTGACACCATGGCAACTCCTTCAGTTTGTTTGTATATTTTCCAATGCAATTTAGATAATTTGGAAGTTAGGCATGACTGCTGCAAACACGTGTAATAGGAATGATTCAACACCTGTCCGCCCAAACATCTGGAAAGTTTTACTACTCCAACGACCTAAAATACGAGAGAATAAAGGAAACCATAAAACTCAAGTTTGAACAAAGCAACAACTACAGTTTTAGCAGAATAAAATGGTACCATATTTTATTTCGTCGCCTTCTCTTCAGCTGCTTACAGGGCAAAAACATTATTAAGTGTATCTAAATATATCTTGCACAGAGTTCACTTTAAACAGAAATCAATCGATCAATATACACATACACTAATAATATATACATGTATATATATGCAATATTGAACACAATTCCGAGCATTAATAATCATACAAAATGAAAACTTTTCAGTATCTCGCTTTTTGAACATGTACCAAAAAGCTTACGTCTAAAGGGAACAAATGCCTTAAGCAGTGCCATCGCCAGGCATCTTCTTGACACGGGTCATGAGGTGGATGTCGAAAAGTCGTTCAAAATTATCAATAAGCAAAAGAGTTCAATGCTCCTTAAGTTTGCTGAAGCCTTTTCCATCAAGCGCCTAAAACCTGATTTGTGCGTTCAGAAAGAAGCAGTTATCAGTCTTTCTTTGCCCTGGTAACTGGATATTTTTCATCCTAATGCGAGATACTAAAAAGTTTTCATTTTGTATGATTATTAATGCTCGGAATTGTGTTCAATATTGCATATATATACATGTATATATTATTAGTGTATGTGTATATTGATCGATTGATTTCTGTTTAAAGTGAACTCTGTGCAAGATATATTTAGATACATTTAATAATGTTTTTGCCCTGTAAGCAGCTGAAGAGAAGGCGACGAAATAAAATATGGTACCATTTTATTCTGCTAAAACTGTAGTTGTTGCTTTGTTCAAATTCATTAAGGGGAACAAATGCATGAAAACTCAAGTTTCTTAGTTGTGTGATTATAGTTGATATGATTGTGAACAATGATAAATTGTCTTCGAAACCTTGTCATCCAGTAAACAGTAATACTGTTTAACTCACTGTGTGTGATATATCTAATAAACAAACTAATATGGAATTACTTACTACCATAGTATTTTAGTTTTACACATATATTAATAGAGAAATCTTATTTGTTTCGAAAATTCCCAGCCATCCAAGCGAATTGATTCGGATCTATGATTTGAGCTAAAACCGGGTGCACCGTTGATGAGCTTGGCTTCAAACGGACATCTGGTGTTTGAATCACTTCAACCTGGCTGCTTATCACTACTGATTAGTATAAGTGGTTCCCAACTACCCACTGTCCATCAGTTAGAAGTATGTAGTTTCAGGCAAACATGTTTGCTTTCTCGATTACTATTTATGGTATGAAGTACATCACATATTGTGATTTGAATAGCTTAGATAGTGAACTGTTACCTAGATCTGTATACATTTCAGATTGCAAATTTGATCCAATGTTTGTATATTCATCATAGTTTTTATAAAGAAAGAAGGTGGATTTGATGATATTAGATGGTTGGAGGCAATCGGCCACAGGAAGCCTTCTACCTAGGTTTCGTACTTGTTGGCACTCACCAGTCAGCAAGGCGTAACAACATTCCTGAAGGAACTCATGTACTTTTTGAGATTCAAACTAGCGTCACCCAGGGCTGCAAACACAGACGTTACTACTGAGGAGCTATTCGGGCTCACTACTGACCTCCTGTAGGACTGTACTGGATACTTTGATTTGAGCAGCCAAAGAGTGAAGAAAACCCTGACGAAAATAACTGAGCAATAAATCAAAGCAAACGTTTACACAAATATTCACTAAAGGATTAATCCACTGCATTTCGAAGCATACAGAAAAATGTGTAGTTAACAGAAAAAGAAAGCTGAAATGGATAGAAAGACTATTAAATAGAGATTAGAGAAGCTTTTCGGGATTTCGAAGATCATACTAAGTATAAAAACCTTTGAACCTTTTTGAAGATATCCAGGTATGTTGTCAATAATCACTGGAAATTTGGTCTCATCATTTTGAGGACCTCAAGCTATACACCACTATCAGTGGCAACAGCTAAAGGCATTACGTATTGGTGCCAGCTTTAAGTTTAACTGCTTCTAGCTGTCTTCCAACCAGACCCTTCTTCAGACTATCTGTCTTTGACAATAGGTGCCTGAGTTCTATCTCCCGTGTTAGGTGGTAATATATATAGTGAGTAATATTGAGGTCAGTCTTTGGTTGAGTGGTGGATAAGAAGGAGAGGTCAGTCAACGAGGTTGTGAAGTGGTTACATCGAATGGGATGGTTAGGACATGTGTTATGCATGCATGACTAGCCAACGCCTTCCTCGACCACGGGCAACGTTAGCTGCTGACGTAGGATCAGGATGGAAAAGAGTTAGCTAGTGGTGGTCAAACCAAAGCATGGCTTCATCAGTCAATGAAATCCATATAAGTTAGTTTGAGCCAGTCAGTCAGCCACTTAGGGAGGTGCAGACTGGCTGGCTGACTGGTTAGGGTCTTTGGGGAGATAAAAACCAATGGCTGGAGACAATTGGTGATATGGCTCAAAATCCTCGTTCTCAATGAATAGCTCAGATGAATTCATCACTCTTTGTGATTTGTCTTATCCAATAAAACTCTATTGTTCTTCCATATTACTATTCTTTTTCCCTAACTCATACTTCTCCTTATTGTCTCCCTTCATTACCTTCTATCGCTTTGTGTGCTACAAGGAGGGAGTGTAGCAACTCAAACTGCTGTACATCTGTGCAAAGTTCTACGTTGAAACCAGTCGGTCAGTAAGAAGTTGTCATTTAGGAAGGTTACAGAAATGACTTCGTTTGCAAATGATCTTATCATATATGGGAACGAACTGAACTATTATAATCTACTGATATTAATGATTCAACATTATTTAAAAATATTATGGTTGTCAATAACAACTATTCTTCGATCATTATGGGTAAAACCTTATGATGAATTTATTATTCACTGATCAGTCTTTTCAAATAAACTCAATATGTTTTAAAGCCTGCTGTCTGGAAAGCAAATGAAAGCTTCGCAAATAAACCATCCAGAGCAGAGAATACAGCTACACCAATATAAACTTATTCTGAATAAATTATCACTCGGGGGGATTTGTAAACATCGAATAAAGCTAATTATGTGTGATTGTACAGTTCATAATCAAAGTAAAATAAAAGAATATTAAGTTAAATCATGCACATGGTCCGGGGTTCGATCCCCGGCCGGCGCACTCCTTTAACGCGCTAAGCCAAAACTAAAGTTGGTGAAGAGGAAAGGTTGGACATGAGGCTAGCAACCCCATCCTGTGAAAAAAATAAACACTGCTACAGAAACTTCAAG